TGTGTGTGGCTCTACAGCCTCAATTTTGGATTGACGATTTTGGTGTTTCGGCGCATTGCGCGAATCCGCGCATTGCGCGCACAGACACGGTAGCGTGCCTTCCGTGGTCGCGCCTTCCGTGGTCGCATTTTCACTTCAATCAGCAGCACACGAGCTACTCACCATGGAGATACAGCATTGGAGTTATTGGTGTTTTGATTGGGATCAATTTAGACTTCCAGTATATGTGCCTTTCTCTCCCTGACCTGCAATACTATTCCCAGTCGACACGACAAGCCTTCCGTCCCCCATATTGCGAACACCTTCAGCATAAACTTCTAGGGAGCCTTTTTGCAAAATCGAACGACGAAGTCGAGGCGATAGACGTGCATGCGCGGAATATAGCGGTCCTCAGAAGCACTGGTGACGGCTTCCTCAGACTCCACCTGGCCATTTTGACCGACAAGCAACAAACCGACCCGAGTCAACTCAGACTTGTAAGCATCTTGAACACTTCCTGCGATTGCCTGTAAGTCAGCGTGACCCCATGTTGTTTCACGCACGATTGTTGAGTCGAGCTATAGGGTGGAAGCATCGAGCCATGATGGGTCGATGGCCCAGATTGTGTTGGCAGTTTTCTGCGTGTGAGTGCGGCTGTTGATCTGATCATGATAGGCTCTAAGTATCAGATTCTTCATCTTTGGACTGGATCTGGAAGCAGTCAATGAGGGCTGTGATCGGACCGGTGGAAGACTGAAACTCGTGCACTGATTAGTCGTGGAGATTATCACATTGACAATAAAGGTAAGATTGATAACGTACGGCAGATCGATCAGCTGAGGGTGGTTGCGCTAGGTATGGACGGTTGGCAACCAACGACAAGTACAGATGCCTTTGCTGAGCAATTGACAAACACCTTCCTGCAGGAACATCTTGTTACAGAGAAGCACCGCGGTAAGTCATATCGAAGAGGCTCAGTGGCTGCCAACGTCCGTAGTGGATCCCGAAGGTGCCACGGTTGACGCGTCCTCTTGCTACCTACAGCCTAGGTGCCACTTTTCAGAGCTCGTGATACACCATACCTCGTAGTTTTTGCGGCAGGTTAGCGAATATGTCACGGTTTGGGGTGCTCCTGCCTGTTGTACCTCACCTCCATGAGAGTGACTGCCACGTCACACTAGCGTTGTTTACAGCCACTCACCTATATATACTGTTCGTAGCTTCACCCAATACAACTCCAGTACAATCTTCAAATTCTTCCCTTTCCGTACAGTTCTTCACTGAACTCCAACAGAATAAGGTTGAACCCGAGTCAAATTGCTGAGGGCATCCAATGGCCTTGATATCGGAGGTGGCCATGGTGGACTGTGGGTGTTGATGTGCGTGATAGTCGGGGGGAGTGACAGTGCGGAGGAGAGAGCACCTTTCCATTCTATGGTGGTATCTGTGGGCCTAGCACGCCTTCTGCTTTCTCACTTTCACCTCATCAACGGCACGTGTCAAATGCAACAATTGATGAGTCAGGTGAACAGCAGTTTAATGACATGCATTCGTTGCCTGGTTGGATTAGAGCAATAATTTGGTACATGCATGACGCAACGATGTGGAAGAGTAAATGGTATTATACTGTTGCAAATTGGGATAGTTTGATGCTTTGTGGACTGCCCAAAGCTCCATCAGCCTACTCAAACGCGTCCTGCATTATCAATATGCACAGCTGCGACCTTCTCGTTGTGTTCGCTCTCGTCGTCTGCCTTGCTGCTCGGTGTGGGCACATCGTACTCCCTGGTCCTCTCAAACCCAAACAGTTTGTCCATCTCGTCGGTACGCAATCCCTTGGTATCGTGGATGAAGAACCAAGCGTAGATGCTCGCGCAGATCAAGCACGTAGCAAAGAAGACGTACACGCCCCAGCCCATGCTGGTGTACATCTGAGGCAAAGCCTTGGTGACTACCAGTGTCCAGATCCAAACACTTGCAGCTGCGAAAGGTCCAGAGACAGAGCGCAGAGTGGTCGGGAAGATCTCGGCTGAAATGATCCAGGGAAGGCCATTCGCACCGAATGACCAGGCAGCACCGAAGATCATGATCATAGCGGTGGCCCCCTTGCCGCCAGCGATTGTAGAGTCGGACATGGGCTGACCGACCTTCGGCTTACCGAGACTGATGTAGATGGCCAAATAGTATTGACAGAAAGCACAGATGAGAGACGAGATAATCCAAGGCCACTTGCGGCCGAACATGTCGATGAACCAGGTAAAGAAGATGATTGAGCCGCCAGCTTTGATGATTCCGTAGACACCAGTCCAGAGGGTAACGTCCGAGAGACCAATGGAGGTGAAGATCGTCGGTGAATAGTAGTTGATTGCCGCAGCTCCGGACCAGGCTTGCCACATGAACATGAGGAAAACCAGTAAGAAGCGATTGCGCATGCCGGGCAGAGAAGCCTCTTTGGCAGCAGCCTTGATCACTTGGAGGAAGCTTGCGTGCTGCTGACCTCCAACAAGTGCTGCTCGCTCCTTGGCAATTTCGATCTCGACGAACTCGACGTCTTGTGCAATGTACTCGTGGTCCTCAGGCAGGTTACGGAGAAAGCTGTATACCTTCAGAGCCTCCGCTTTACGTCCGCGCTTCAGTAGCCAAGTAGGCGACTCCTTCAACAAGGGGATCATCAAGGCCAGAAGTCCAGCAGGAATGAGCTGCACGGCCATGGGTACTCGCCAGGCAATGGACTTGGACCTATCCATGTTGTGTACGATGCCATAGTTGATCCAGAACCCAATGACAGCGCCGGTTTGGTAGAATGATTCGAAAAAGCCGGTCAAGCGGCCACGAATGGCTGGAGGCGAGATTTCGGCGATGTAAATAGGAGAAACGGCAGCGATGCCACCAACACCCATTCCGGTGAAAAACCGTCCAGCGTAGACAAGGCCGATCTGATGGGTAGCAACAGTACACATGATTGCGCCGATGATGAAGATCGTGTCCGAGATGATGACTGTCATACGACGACCAAGAAGTTCGAGTGAGGGGTACATGAGCAGGGCTCCAACAAGACCTCCTGCAGAGTCTACACAAGCGTTAGTATTCAGCTCTATGAGGGCTCCTGATTGCTTCATAGACGTACAAATCGAAGTAATGTTGCTCGTGACTTCATTCTTCTTGGATATTGACATGTTGTTGAGCCCAAAGTCGCGTTTGAAACTCTCGTGCGTAATGGTCGTTCCAATGAACGCAGAATCGTATCCGTAGGCCAGGACACCCATAGAGATGACGAGAGCTGCCATGTACACTCTCCAGTTGTACTACATTAACAGTCAGCACATTTCCTGTCCAGCGACTGACATGGTGTCTGGCAATCTGATAACCTACCACTTCTGGCGGCGTAGGCCTATCCTCTGGTGCTCTTGCGAAACCTCCCATGATGGATAAAGCTGAAAGAGAAACTAGTAGAGTCGGTGTAGAGATGGCCGCAGGAGGCGATGCTGATCTCAAATCCGGGGTATGAATGTCTCTTTAAGTGCTCCAGATAATGCCGACCCCGGCTTGCAGCTCGCTTCTCCACAAAATAACCTGGTCAGTCACTAGGGTGCGTATCCGAGCACAAGGACGCTGGGATCGGATGAAAGTTGATCAGGCCATGGTCACTTCAGACAATCTTAGCCACCACGCGACACCGTTTTAGCAGGTGCACAGAAAGAGACTGCCGACAATTGCGTACAGAGACTCCACTGGGGACTCCAGATGCACTGGTGGCGCTGTGTGGGTCGCGAGACGAGGATGTGGAGGAACAAGGAATGCTGACTTGGTGTCGGCAGTCGCGTGCGCTAAAGTGGCAGGAGCGAGGGAATCGAGCTAGTGCACCTTCCGGGCAAAGTGCAGGCGATGCATGCCGACGACCTCTCACGTCGAATCGCATCATCCCAGGTGCCTCGCGATGCTTTGGGCATGCGGCAATGTGCTCTCCCATAACTTCCCCACGCGTGGAGACGCCATCGGAATCTACAGTGGGTGTCGGAACGCGTGTCGGAATCACGATGGTCATAATGAGCGCTGCCCGCTCCTCGCCGCTGTTGCTTGCTCTTAGCTCACACTCAAGAAACCCTTGAATCTTTACACAACATGCCTTCGAACGAGCCTCTTTCCAATGGCAACGGCGCCACCCAGGAATACTCATTCCCACCTGGCATCCACGTCCCTTCATTGACTTGGTTCAAGAACGATCAGAACCAGGACATCGACTGGGAGGTTCAAGAGAAGCACTTCGAATTCCTCATCTCCAATGGTCTCCATGGTATTGTCATTGCAGGCACGAACGGCGAAGCAGCAACATTATCTTCAGCCGAGAAGACAAAGTTAGTTCAGAAAGCACGCAAGACCGCTCAAAAGTTAGGTCGCGGCGACCTACCTATCACACTCGGCGGCGTAGCAGGCTCGACACGCGATGCTATCCAGCAGACCATCGAAGCCAAGGACGCAGGTGCAAGTGCATTCCTCGCGCTCGTACCTTCCTACTTCCACTTTGCGATGAACCAGGATGCGATTGTTGCGTTCTTCCAAGAGCTGGCAGATGCAAGTCCCATCCCGATCGTCCTCTACAACTTCCCAGGTGTTGTAGCTGGCCTAGATATCAACTCTGAGATGTTAGACATCTTGGGTAAACATCGCAACATCGTCGCTGTCAAGCTCACATGCGGCGGTATTGCCAAGGTTGCGAGAGTATCAGCTTCATTCAAGAAGTCTGAGTTCGTTGCATTGGCTGGGCAGAGCGACTGGTTGATCCCAGCATTGAGTGTTGGAGGTGTGGGCACAATCACCGGTGTCGCCAACCTGTACCCCAAGGTCAGCTATTGCCTGCTTATACTTACTATCTCGGCGCTAACATAAGTCAGACTTGTGTACACATGTTCAACCTCTACCAATCTGGCAAGGAAGACGAAGCCTCTGCCCTTCAGATCAAGTTGTCAGTCACCGAGTGGGGCTTCGGAAAAGGTGGCATCAATGGCACCAAGTACGTGGTAGCACACAAGAGGGGATACCCAGAGTCGAGCGCAGACTGCAGGAGACCGTACCCCAGGTACGTCGATGAGGAGAAGAGGAAATGGGTCGTCAACCAGGTGTCAGGATTGGATGAGATCGAGGCTTCCTTATAAGCTGGTCTATCGGCATAGAACTCTTGGATACTTTTTTCCGGTCGCGCATTTGCATCTTTGGCGTAATCGGTGGAGGACTTCACAACGTACTTGAACGACAGAAATAAACCAAAACTTTACCTCCTCGCTTTGTCGATATCTGATCCCTTAGAAAGTCTCAGTGACCGGAGAGAAGACCGAGATATTCACTGGGTCTGGAGTTACAAGACTTGCGCCTCTAACACCGTGTTGCTGAGTAAAATGAAGCTCTCATCATGTGATGGTGTGGTTTGAAGAAGCCTCAAAAAGGGCGGTTGCCGTCTCCTAATTCAGTAATTGCAAGAGTTCAGCCAATAGGAGTGACCTGGTCTATTTGCCGAACTTCATCCTCTTCCTCCATCCTTGCCTCAAACACAATCACCGCCAATGAGCAATGCGCCTTCACTGCAGCCACCGGGCACATCTGCCCTATGTCGGCGTTTGAAGCTTGCAGGGCTTGTATGGAGAGGGGCAAGAGTGGGGTTAACGCGGGTTTACGATAGCGGCATGGTCGCCGGTCGTGACGTTGAGCTGTGCAGCAGCATACATAGCTATATTACCCACTCCGTCGCTCGTTACTTCAATCGTCACATCCTCGAACCCTCCCAAAGACATATACAACACCCATTGTAGCTATGTCATCACCTAAGACCATCCGCTGGGGAATCCTCGCGACAGGAGGCATTGCCCTCACCTTGTGAGTACCCCGCGGTTCACCCCACCATGAGCTCTTGATTGACATCCACAGCACGAGGGATCTGCTTGTCGACCCAACAACCCGTGGTGTCAAATCCGTCAAGCACACAGTCGTCGCCGCCGCATCTTCATCCTCGAAATCGCGTGCTGAGGACTTTTTGAAGGAGGTCAGCGCACCCTCAGACGCGAAGGCCTACGGCTCCTACGAGGAGTTCGTCAAGGACCCAAACATCGATATCGTCTATGTCGCCACACCACACTCGCACCACTACCAGAATGCTAGGCTCTGCCTCGAGGCTGGCAAGCACGTTTTGTGCGAGAAAGCATTCACTGTCAACGCGCTTCAGGCACGCAAGCTGGTGGAGATCGCAAAGGAGAAGAACCTCTTCCTGATGGAGGCCGTATGGACACGCTACTTCCCTCTCTCCATCTACGTCCGCGAGCAGATCACATCTGGCCGCATTGGCCCCGTTGCGCGCGTCATCTCGGATAACAGCATGGCCCTGGACCCTGAGAACAACTTTGCAGATGGCAAGAACCGCATGGTCAACCCCGACCTTGCTGGTGGAGCACTGCTAGATCTCGGTATCTACGCGTTGACGTGGGTGTTCCAGACACTATACCATACTCAGCCCGAGAAGACACGCCAGCCCCCTAAGCTCCTTGCTTTCATCAAGAATTACGAGGCTACAGGAAACGCAGACGAGCACAGCACTATGATCCTCAACTTCCCGCGACCGAAAGAGGAGGGCGGTGATGCACATGCTGTTGCAACAACGTCACTTCGCGTCGCCACAAGCCCCGGCCAGAACCAAGATACACCATGTGTCCGTGTCCAGGGCCCCAAGGGCGAGATCCAGGTCTTCCCTCCTTCGTTCCGTCCCACAAAGACCAAGGTTATTCTCAGCGACGGTACTGTCGAGGAGAAGGACTGGCCGATCCCCGGACCCGGTAAGGGCAGCAACTGGTACAATGGCTTCGGTGGCTCACTGCAATCAGAAGGTGAGGGCCAGGGCATGTTCTGGGAGGCTGACGAGGCTGCTGAGGCGGTGCTCGAGGGCAGGAAGGAAGGCAAGTACGAAAACCTTGCTGAGAGCATCTTAATCATGGAAGTCATGGATGAGGTCAGGAAGCAGGGCGGTCTTGAGTACCCGTCCAAGATTGAGTCGACAGATTATCCTGTGCAGCTGTAGATGCTGACCTTAGTGCCACATCACCGAAAGTAACGTAAGATAGCAAAAGAGACCTCGATCCTCGCTTTACGCCTAAATGTATCAAGACTTCCCTGCCCAAGAATGCCCGCCCTTCCCAAACTTCGCCCCCGTAAAAGCCAACCTAATCAGACCCTTCTCCAAATCTCTTCCCTATGTTCCTCCATCTCCTCAAAATCCCAGTTCACACTCACTAAACCCCCTCTCAACCACTCCGCCCTCTCCGTACATAGCCACAAACTCAACCCATCCGTCAGCATCGGATCATCCAGCGCCATATCAGGTACTCCATGGGCGGCATATCCGTTGCCACGAGCCCAGGGAAGACGCTGAAGCATCGCACGTTGGGTCACGAGTTTGCTGGGGATATAGAGGCGAAGTTTGGGTAGGTTTCGCCGAGGATGCCGGTTGAGATGTCTAACACGGTTCCGGTGCTGGAGGAGGGGAGTCGGGCGAGGAAGTGGTGGATGTTGAGTTGGGCGCCTTTGACGTTGACTTCCTGGTATCTACCAGCTGCGGTGGAGGAAGCTTGGAGGAGAGAAGCGACGTACGAAGTCTCTCCACAGGTTAGCTGGCGCATCTTCGCCGGTCTTTGCTTGTGTTAGGGTGCCGGCGTTGTTGACGACGACATTGACTTGGCCCCGCTCTTTTCCCGCTCTGGACCAGAGGTTCGCCACCTTCGTCTCTTTCGTCACATCCGCAGGCACACTCAATACCCTTGTTCTCGGTTCACCTGGAAACTCGGATTTCTTCAACAACTCCAGCTGCTCTTCCACCTTCCTTAGCTTATCTGCGTTTCGTCCCGTAATCACCACGCCCGCAGAGCCAGCTATGACCCATGTGGAAGCAATCTTCTGCCCATACTGCCGGAAACACCAGTTATGAGACGACTTTGTCTGCTGCTGCGGACAGAGCTGGATTGTTGTGAGGATCCAAGAGTGGGTAGAGATCTCGGTGGATCTTGGAAGTGAGTTGGGCTTGCCACTTTACAATATTGTAGTCGATTTCTTCGGTCATTGTGGAACTACAAGTGTTGATATAGTCTTGCTGATCCAGTCTTGAGCAGAATCAAGTCGAATATATTCCGCGGAACCCATGCTCGTAGTATCCTCTCTTGTGGGTCCATGCGGCACAGTGCAGCTGCTTGCCATCCTGGGACGGAGCGACATACGAAAGTGGGTTCCGTTATTTATCCGTTGGTTGCTCTACGAGTAGGCCCGACTGTGCTATGCAATGTGATGCTTTATGAAGTCCCGCTTCATCAGTGCCCGTTCATCTCTTTCTGCCGTCCCTCCATCCATGCCCTACAACTCGAGCAATTGAACCTCCGCAGCCCTCCAATCTTGACCGCTTTCCTGAAACATAGATCACGGTATCGGTGTTTACAAGACTCGACTTGCCGCATATTGTACTCCCCATGCTTCTCGAGACACACACAACACTGCACATACGTAGCCGCAATATGCGTCGGACTTTGAGCATCCTGAGCGCTCAAGAAGTCGATACGTGCCTGTGGTGTACGGCGAGGTGGGACAATCTGGAGCCGTGTGTTTCCAAGTGATTGGACGACATCACGGTAGGCTGCGTGTGCAGTGGCGGTAGGTGAGCTGATTGCAGTGTCCTCCTTTAATGGCGTGGAGGTAGGCGAGGGGAAGAGCGAGTCAACGCGCATGCGTGGTGGTCGTCCGAGGTCGCGAGGTTCGCCTGGAGTTTTCCTGATTGTGAGCTTATCGAGTGTCTCCTTGGGTAGTGCTCCTAGGAAGGCGTCGTAGTCGAGCGCGTGTGCATCGATGATGGCTGTGGGGGTTGGACCGCTCTCCTCTTCAGGTGCAATGAACGTGGGTTCTTCTAGCTTCAGTGTTGCTAAACGGTGTTTGTCGTCGGTGAGCATTTCAGCTTGAATACAGTCATCTTTTGGTGGCACCATCTGCTCGTGCAGTTCCGAGCCCAAGGGCACATCCTCGATGTCTGATGGGGCGTTCGACTCTGCGTCAATCTGTGCGTCAACATGCTCGACATGTTTTCCTTTCAGCGAGTCCTGTCGCTCCGTAGATGGTACATCCCGCATCTGCGGCCAACCGTCTCCCTTGCTCTTCATCGCGTGCCGTTCGCACAACTTCTTCCCGCTCTCTTCGTCAAGGTGGCCTAGCTGGCCGCACTGAGCCCCCCTCCCTGCCCAAGTGACAGGCACTGGGCATCTGTCCTGTGCATGACGATCATGGAATCTGCAATACCACAGCTTGATCTTCGGTTGGTACTTGTCTCCAGCCTTCTGACACTGGTACTTATTGTTCTTAGGTAGCTTGAAGGCGCATCGGCGAATGGTCTTAGATCGTGATGGCATCTGGCCGGCAGTTCTGGTAGTGATATACTCAAGTCCAAAGAAGAAGTCTGAAGGGAAGTACAGAGACTCGTGAAGTTGTTGCAGATAGGCAAACATGGTGTTTCAATACGACAAAGACGGTTGTGCGCGTGCACACAATATTGCATGGAATCAACGTGCAGCACTGTGAGTGGTGAACCATGGTACAGCAGGTGTGAGCCAATAGGAGCGCGGCCAGCAATGAGGAGGCGGCTGGAACCCTCCAACTGTTGTAGCGAAGCCTAGATAGCCCGCTATCAAGGAACTCACTACCGGAGCCAAGGCCGGGGGTACTCAGATTACACAGTTCGTACCTCCAGCGCGCAGGGTTTACAGTGTATGGCAAGTATGTATGGCCCATCGAAACGCGTTTGGAACGGAAGAATAATGTCCTAGACGTCTATAAGAACCAATGGGTTGATCTGCCGCAAGTACAATGTCGCCGAGACATGGAAACGCAGTCTCGACGATATTTAGTTGCGGTAAGTGCACGCAGGAGACTGAGATGCAACCTAGCTTCTGTGCATGAAGACTGCTGCCATCTACGTCGAGTCACGTCGACTCACGAAGTCGATGAGGACGGTAACACAGTCGATAGCAAACAATGCTCACGATAAGGAATGTACGGTCAATCATTGCGCTCTCCCCCATCTGCTCGAAAGCGGAGGAAACCGCACCCAAGATCAGCCAATTTCTGCTCTCCACGCTACAGACGGTTTTCGTGCTCATGGAAACCTCACACCATCCGTAGATGACGGGTCTCTCCAAAGAAAATGCTTTAAAGTAGGTGTGTTAATTTTGCGTTGTTCAATATGGAGAGCAAAAGAGTGGCCGCGGCAGAGAAAGTTTTATTGAGCCCTCGGCCGGAACAACTGATCGGCGCCGTTGGGCGTGGGCGTGCGCGCGCTGCCCCGCGGCCAGCGGCTGAGTCAACGCCATTTTCGCCTTTGCTGTGGGAAAACAGCTGCACGCCGCCGCATCGATAGCCACGCACCCGGACGCCCCATTTGCAGGACCCCGTCGCCCCCTCTATCACGCCGACCAAAGACACGAAAAGCTGCGCAGCATGGATTCCGAGTCGGAGCACGAGCACCGCGACGTCAACGATGTCGAGAGCGAGTCGGAGCAGGAGGAGGTGGAGGAGACAAAGCCAAAGTCGGCCTTGAAGAAGCCGAGAGAGGCGCCGGTGCAGGTTGAGCGCCCTGAGCTGCCGTAAGCACTGCAAGAGCGCAAGTAGAGGAGGAAGGAGCCATGGCTAACACGCAGCAGCGAGCAGCCAGACCCAAACACAATCGACTTCTCCACACTGAGCCCATTGTCCCCCGAGATCATCTCCCGCCAGGCTACCATCAACATTGGCACAATCGGTCACGTCGCGCACGGAAAGTCTACAGTCGTCAAGGCCATCTCCGGTGTGCAGACCGTCCGTTTTAAGAACGAACTCGAGAGGAACATCACCATCAAGCTCGGTTACGCGAACGCAAAGATCTACCAGTGCGACAACCCAGAGTGCCCGCGCCCGACATGCTACCGATCGTACAAGAGCGAGAAGGAGGTCGATCCGCCTTGCGAGCGCGAGGGCTGCGAAGGAACATATCGCCTCAAGCGCCACGTTTCGTTCGTCGACTGTCCCGGCCACGACATTCTCATGAGCACTATGCTGTCAGGTGCTGCCGTCATGGACGCTGCCCTGCTGTTGATCGCCGGAAACGAGACTTGCCCCCAGCCCCAGACAAGTGAGCATTTGGCCGCTATCGAGATCATGAAGCTCAACCACATCATCATCCTCCAAAACAAGGTTGATCTGATGCGGGAAGACAGCGCGGCCTCCCACTACGAGTCGATCCTGAAGTTTATCCGTGGAACTGTTGCCGACGGCTCGCCCGTCATCCCCATCTCCGCCCAGCTGAAGTTCAACATCGACGCCATCTGCGAGCAGCTCATCAGCAAGATCCCCGTCCCTGTCCGCGACTTCACCACAAAGCCCCACATGATCGTCATCCGATCCTTCGACGTCAACAAGCCCGGTGCTGAGATTGACGAGCTGAAGGGAGGTGTTGCTGGTGGCTCTATCCTGACTGGTGTTTTGAAGTTGGGTGACGAGGTTGAGATCAGGCCCGGTATCGTTTCCAAGGACGCCCAGGGCAAGGTTCAGTGCAAGCCTATCTTCTCGAGAGTCGTTTCCCTGTTCGCCGAGCACAACGACCTGAAGTTCGCTGTTCCTGGCGGTCTCATTGGTGTTGGTACCCGCGTCGACCCTACCCTCTGCCGTGCCGATCGTCTTGTCGGCTTCGTCCTCGGTCTCCGTGGACATCTCCCCAACATCTACACTGAGATCGAGGTCAACTACTTCCTTCTCCGAAGATTGCTCGGTGTCAAGACCGCCGATGGCAAGCAGGCGAAGGTCGCCAAGCTGGCGAAGAACGAAGTCCTCATGGTCAACATTGGTTCGACTGCTACTGGTGCCAAGGTCGTCGCCGTGAAGGCTGACGCCGCCCGTCTTACCCTCACATCGCCCGCCTGCACAGAGATTGGTGAGAAGGTTGCTCTGTCCCGACGTATCGAGAAGCACTGGCGTCTCATTGGTTGGGCCAACATTGTTGCGTAAGTCTCTCCACAATCTTTTCTGTACCCACTTGCTAACATGTCACAGCGGCAACGTCCTCGAGCCTGTTGTCGATTAAACGTAAGCGTGTCGGTACGCGCCTCGGAGTGGAGGGGTAGCGGAGGCAGTGGAGACGACGAAACAACCTGCAAGCCAACGGTATGACGGCAGCATTCTGTGTATTACGTTCTTGAGCATTTCAGGCAGGAGTCGGTCGCAACATGTGAGAATAGACGGGAAAAGGGTCTCTGCAGCTGAGGTCTAGATAGCGGCTCGGGAGCCACAGTACGACGAGGCTAGCATTCGCCGGAGAGCCACGCCTCTTGTGTATCAGCCGTGTATCCGAGTGGGAGCAGCCAGAAAAGCCAGATCTAATGAGAACATGTATCATGCATCCATTCAGAAGTTCGCAAGTGTTTCTGCAGTCATATTTGTTGAGGTCTCGACATGCATAAAAGGTGCGGAGTTCACAGATCTGCAAGCGAACACGCCCCGGTAGAGTCAGCCGACTTTCACATGAAAGCCACATCTGACACGCGCCTGAGCAAACTGTGGACTACCAACGTCAGACCCAGTGCCAGCCCACTATAACACTATATAGCACTATGACGGCCAACTCCCCTCTTTTGCACACCCGTGAAGTCGCAAGCACGGATATCTGCTTCCCCATTTATCAACCCATATCACGTCTATTGCCTATACGAGGTATGTTTGCGAGTCGCGGTCCACACATTGCGGGCCAAGCTCTCCACCCTCAGGCGCGTGCACGTGCGCTAATGGCCCTGCAGTTAACCTTTCGAGCTACCTTCCATTCTAGAAACAAATTGTTGATTGCGGAGACGCGGTCGCTCGCCCGGGTGGACTCACCGGATATATCTTCGTTCTTTCCACTGCTACTGGTACACGATTTGCTAACTCTATGGTCTTTAATTGAAGAGGCGAATTGGAAGAGCTGAGTATTCGTTTGCGCATTTGCTGCGGAACCGCATACGGACCTCCGCAATGGCCGACGACACTTTCGATCGAAGAGAAAGTGCAAGCCAACAACCACACATCTACCGCCCTATACCGCGGCGAAACTTCGATTCGCAAGCCCCCTGCGACACAGCAGACAGTCCTACCCACGCTTTCTCACACACGCAACAACCGCACTCGCCCTCGGATCTGCAGAACAGCCGCAGCTCAGACTTTCTCGCTCAGCTGAACGCGCGCCTCCTCCGCACATACAACTCTCGCACGGATGATGCCCCCGAGTCGCCCGTCGACGGCACTGGCAGTGCGCGGCTGCCGCGCCAGAATAAAAGCTTCTTGAACATGAATAGCAGCACGCTCTTCGGGATTTACGACGACGTAGGCGCAAGCACAAACGGCGCGCAAAGCGTCGCTGAAACACCATGGGGCACGGGCGCAGAGACACCGGGACATACGGCGATGGGGTGGAATGCGAGTGTGTATGAGACCGGCACGGGCGGTGCGGATGCAGGGCTCAGCATGAAGAACTCCGCGCGCCGGGGCAGTGGGAAGGGGAAAGTGGCTGCTGAGAGGAGGAGAAGTAGTCAGACGAGGAGGGCGAGGAGTGGTGTGGCCAGGTACGCTGTGCTGTTCTTCAAGCTGGCGGCGCTGTTCACGTTTGGGGTTTTGTATGGCACGATTGTGAGCCATTTGCATGACACGCGACAGCTTGCTGCGGTGCATGTTAAGGGTGTCGACCGTGAGAGCTGGTTTTATGTTATGACTTGGGGCTGTGCGGGGGTTGCGCTCGGGAGTCTGTTGCCGTATATCGATCTGGTGTGGAGTCGGCATAGCACGTTGGAGGAGAAAGAGCAGGAGAAAGACAGCGAGAGTCCGATCAGCGAGCAGATCAACGATGTAGTCAGGAGCGTGGCGGCATTTGTGGGCGTTGCTTTTGCTATTGTGAGTCCACCTCTCTTCTCAGACCACAATATCGTGCTAACATCACAACAGCGCCGCCTCCCATGGCAGTCCACTCTGCAACTCACCCTCACTCTTGCGCTCGTAAACCCCGCACTGTGGTACATCCTCGACCGCAGCAAACCCGGACTCTCGTTCTCGCTCATCGTAACTTCAATATTTACATCGCTCATGTTCCTCTCCAACCCTACGGCCTTGCTTTCGCCATCTGCACCGCCCGATGCCAACGCTACGCACGCGCCTTCGATACCCAACCATAGACCGGATCTGTTTGCTGGAATCATTAGCTACGACAACCTGGCAGTCGTCACGTGGGTGGGAAGCGTGCTGTTTTGCAGTTGTGTGTGCTTTGGGAATATTGGGCGGAGGCTGGCGCTGTTGGAGGGTGGGTGGAAGAGGTGATTGTGCATCAAGAAGATGTGTGGTTGTAAGGGAAGACGTGTTGGATCTCCGCACTGTAGGATCAAAAGTGTTAGAGGTATTGAGGGTAGATTAAATGAGATGCTGGATATCCTACGGGATCCAGCCGTACGAGGATCGAATCGTTGCACTCTAGCCCGCGGTGTCATTGGCGCTCTCCAGGGCTGAGCTGGCTGAAGTGAGGAGTTCCTGCCTTTCAGAGCTGACTCTTGGCGTGCCCCTCCGCGAGGCATGGGGCATAGGGGCGGCAGACATGAGCGGACGCTTACGCTTTCTACAAGCACTGTGTTCTTTGATGATACACCGTTCCTTACATGATGGAGCCAGAGTCACCAAACGATCTATCCGTCATTGAGCTGGCGCCGCTGTCATCGTACCGCGTTGTCGTTGGATGCCAGTGTCCAAAAGGAGGGAACGCTAAGAGCTATATATCTAAAGACGCCGTGGAAGATGGGAGCTGCCCGCGGATGTGCTGCCTGTACCTTTATCTTCAGTGTCTTCACAGTCTACAAAGACTTTCAACTTGTACGTGACTACGAGTTCAAGATCTACCATACCTATGGTAGCATAGCGGACCTTCCATTCTTCCAATATTGACTCGCGACGACGGGCTCGATCTTGAATTCTATATGGTGGGACGTAGCTTTGCTTGATATTACGTAGTCTGTTCTTGTGAGCTGGTGTGACGTTGTAGGTCCCAAGAGGAGAATTGCAGATTTCTCTGGCAGAGCTCGCGTTCGCCATTCGTGAGACAAAAGATGAACACAGAGAACATGCATGCTTGAGTCATTGTCGGGATCTACTAGATAGCTTTGAAATTCTTCTGACGGTCAAAGCCACACTTGCCATGTTCCTCGAGGGCGTTCCACGGTGGATGGCACCTTAGTGAACAATCTGACCTTCATCGAGAGCCTCGCGCCATGGTCTACCATGACCTTTGGCTCCACACCCCTGGTATCCGGCTCTCAGGCTCCCAGCTCAAGAGCCTCACTTTGGATGTCTACCAAACCGCCATCACAGGGCACGAAGTACCAAACTAGGTTTGGACGTTTGACCTTTCCCACCTTGATAACCTCCAGCTACGACTCAACTCATTCAGCATGCGCTCTGACGTATTTCGATATGGTAGCTTCGACCCTCACACTTTTGCATCGGAATTAACAATTTTAACTGAATCGACAAAGCGACCACGCAAGACCAAATGATTTCTTCGAAATCCTAAACTATAGAAATTTCGTGATGGACCGAAATGCCAACATCTCATACAAGTTCACGGAAGTCGACATAGTTGGAAGTCTTCGCAGTTCTTCAATGCCGCGATACGATTTAGTACTGACAAGGCTACCGCAGAAGCCTGTGGAGGTGTGGAGGTCCATGGAAGATGCGTAGACCTTATCTAGTTAGCATCTAGGCACTGGCAACCAACCACATGAGGTTCGCAAGTTAGTGGATTGTAGGTTTCGTCGACCGAGGAAGGATCATGAGATTTGTCAAGCGCAGACGTTTCGCTGGAGGTCAGTGTGTCTCTGTGGATTTCTCCAAGCCACACTATAGCTTCGGTACACTGCGAGTAGATTTCACCCATCATGGCGACGTGATGACTACGTTCTGCGTGGCTACTCTGATCGATGCAAATAGCGTCAATCCAGAATACGAGCTGTTCTCCGAGTGTAACCACGAGCAATCTTAGCTATCGCATTGTGTCCAAGAAATTGGGTCCTACAATCAAGGCCTGGTCGTCGATAGATATCGCCCGTCGGGAGCCCGGATTGCCCCAGACATATGAAAACGTTGCGTAAAGGGGTTGATCCTGAAGACAAACGGTGCGGATACTGCAGTAGATCAGTTCTTCCCGTCTGCCATGATGAACCTCAAGGAGCCTAATTTGGTCTGACTCCAGGTCGAGAGGACGACTGGCGTAAACCGAAAAACCATCAGGGCTTGGTGTTTGTTCCATGGTGATTTGAACGCATTCAAAAGGTGATCTTGAGATGTGGTGTTCAGGGCGGCAAGGCTGAGGGCATCTGAACAAAGCCTGGCTCCACGCAAGCCCGATCGGCCCCAACAGCTCACATGATGGGTGACATTGAGATCCAAGACACTAAACTGATCGTAGAAATATGCGAAGAAGGTGTCTGAAGTCCAGTAGCCCTGAATAGCTAAGAAAGAACCAGCCGTGGTTTCCAGCAACTCTGCTTTGGGCCCGAGCCCTCACATCTCTTGTACCTTCATTGAACTCAACCTCATGTAACTAAATCTTTGCATTACCAGAGGAGCTAATGCTCCTCTCGTCTTCCATAGTCTTAGACTCAGATAGGACGTTAAACCAATCAATCAATCAATCAATCAACCAGCCGTAGTAAGGGCGCTAAATTTAAGCTTAAACCGCACCCCTGCTTACCCCACCGCATCTCCCAAAATTTATCGCGACATCCCACCTCGATCAGCCAACGTGCCCAATCCTAACACCAATCTGAATACCTCACCCCCCCCTCATACCACGCTCCCAACCGCCACAATGAAGCTCCTAACCCTCAATTTCCTCACCTGCGCAATAAAAACCTGCAAAACGAACGCCTCCTCCTTCCCCCTCCACCCACGGGACGCCGAACTAGAAATCCAAGAAGCCGACGTCAACCTCCCCTTCCTCAAGAACATACTCCCGCGGTTAATGTGGGAGGAACTGCGCACAATATGCAAAGAGGCACGCTTCCCCTCCCCCTTCCCCCCTCCCACCTCGCAACAGCGATTTAAGCCTGGACTGTCTTGACTGACATGGAACACAGCTCGGCCTCCCAGACCTCCCCCCAACACCGCCCACACCCACCGATCTCATCTCAGGAGGAAACAGCACAGACACTACAGAGGGTCGCACACAAGCCGAGCAGGAGCCGAGCCAGACAGCGAAAGACTTGCACCGCGTACTACTCGAGACGTGCATACAAGAGGGCAAACTGGTGTGCGGGTGCTGTGGGCATGAGTACGCCGTGAAAGAGGGGGTTGCGAATTTTTTGCTGCCGGGGCATTTGGTGTAAGGAGGTGAGGAGGGAAGGGTGCGAGGACAGAGCGAAGCTTGGTCTGGAGGACTTTGGAGATTGTGGGGAGGTGCGGATGACGAGGGAGAATGGCGAAGAGATGATTGGAACTGCGGCGAGGAGAATGGACGAGCGCTGCTAGGACGCATACAGTACATTGAGACTGTTAAGGGTGCTGGAGGGATTCAGGGTGTTGACGGAGTCAGAAAAGTCATGATACCCATTCACCGGAGTTTAACGGGCATTTGGCGGCGTTGATATGAATCAAGACCGAAGTAGACGTATGATATCATGGTATCTGCCCCATTCACGCGCCCGAACGCCTATACTTTTGCTTATTCTCCTCCACAACCGCACTTACAAATCAAGAGTCCGGTTGATCTGCACCTTCTTGTCCTCACCCGCACTCACAATCCCGACCTCCTTATCCCACCTGACACTGAACACCTTCACCCCCTCGCCATGACTCTTTGCTGGCCCACTGACTCCCTGCCTGTTAATCGTGTACACACTCTCGCCCGTCATACCCTCGCCGATCTGGCTTCCCGTCGTGACATTCCTCAGATCCCAAATCTGGCATGTGCCGTCGTGCGAGCCAGACACGAGGTTGTACTCCGAGTTAGGATCAGTGTCCAGAGAGACGATGCCGTTCTTGTGGCCGCGCAGTGTCATGACGCTGATTTGTGTGGCGGACACGCGCGGATCGACGAGTGTGATGTGGCGCGCCGAGGTGCCGGTTGCGAGGAGGTTGCGGGAGGGGATTGCGCAGAGGGAGAGCAGTGCGTGGCCCGTTGTGCGTGTGTCGACGCAGGATTGGGTGGGGAAGTCCCAGGTCTTGAGTGTGTGGTCGTGCGAGGCGGAATAGGCGACTGTTGCGTCGTCGGGCTTGAAGATCACGCTGGAGACGGGTGCGGCGTGGCCGTTGAAGGTTGCTAATGCGCCGCGAGCGGGGACTGTGCGGTCGGGTTTTGAGAGCTTTTGGCGCTTGTTCGAGGCAGCTGTGGAGTTGGGGAGGAGGGTTGAGGGTGCGGCTGGGTTCTCTTTGGCGTTGCTGGAGAACAGGGAGATGGTGGAGTCGGAAGAGGCGGACAGGATGCGGTTCGAGGGTCCGTGGACGGCGACATCCTCAACAGCCCATCTGTGGTTGAAGAGCTCGAGGCTCGTTGTAATGGTGCGCGCATCGTCGTCATACTTGTACACTCGTACAGTGTTATCCAGACCCGCCGCTACAATCTTCTTGTCTGACAGCCACTTCGCAGTCTTTAAGCTTGTTATCCTGCCGCCGTTGTTCGGTGCTTCTGATGTCGCCAAGACATCGCCCGAGGTGTTCCAGACGCGTACAAGGCCGTCGTAGCTTGCGCTAAGGATCCTCTCTTGGCCGCCCTGCACGTTTCCGCCTACCCATGTTCCTGCGGGCGAGGCGTGCGAGAGCACGTCTACCGCCGATACCCAGTCGTCATGCTCGAAGCTTGTGACGTTCAGCGGTGGAACGAGCGCTCGTGTGTACTCTACGTCCAATGTGGTTTCCGCGTTTATGCCGTTTTTTGTGAGGAATTCGTCGACTGAGGTGCGCAGGAATTGGCCGTTGATGAGAATGTCGAACGGGATGCGGTTGGTCTCGCGGTGCAGCAGATCGTTCACGAGCGTGGAAAGTTGGTGTCGGCTCAAGGCTGTAAGTCTGTGTCAGCGTCCGAAAACCGAGCGCAGAACGACTCAAACACTGCTCGTCTGCTATCTTCTTCTTCTTCTCACGCATTGCGCGCATGAGGGGATATCCTTACAGGTTTGCACCAACAGCACTGTCGGCTCCTCGGCGATCTGAAGACCAGGGTCGCGAGTGCTGAGGCGAATTTGCACCTTGGTCTCTGCTGCGGTGGAATCCATAGCGTATGTTGTAGTCAGTTTTGCTGTTGCGATCGCCTTGGAACTTTGGAAATTTGGCGGCAATGGAACTTTTCGAGAAGCTAGTGAGCCAGATTTGGCTTAGCGCATCAAGCGGGAACCACCAATCGGCGGACAGAACTCTCCGCTCCAGCCTTGCATCAACAGTTGATCTCAGACGCTGAGTATTATTGAACATGTGAAAAAGTCGTGGATATCGTGTCTAAACGATCGCAGCCTGTCTAATGCATGCTTGTCCTCCTGATCTCGGCGATGGCTCTTCGTCGAAGGTCACTTGGTGCGAAGAGAGCCTCAATTAACCCTACCACTTCCTCGGCTCCCATCTCCAGCTTCAGCTCGCTTTCGTTCCAGAGGTACTTGATATCTGCCAGGCTGCCGGCCAGGATCTCACCAAGATACTGCAGTCTGAACCAGTTCTGAACATACAAACTTGCTGTGTCCCTGGTCTCTCCGGATTCGTCCTGTGTTTGAAAGTGCTGATTGAGTGTCGCCAGTGACATACAGTAGCTGTGCAGCTTTCTCGACTCATCTTCTGCAATGTCCGACATGTCCATCACGTCATTGATGAACTTCGCAAACGCCGTACTGACGAGTGATCCAAGCGACTGAACAAGAACCCTATGAGACACAATGTTCTGCCATTGTCGCTTTACGTCGCCAATGCGGTCGATGGTGGTCGCGATGGCATCGTCGCACACTGTCGCAAAGGGGACGTTGGTGCATCCTTGGAAGCCTTGTGCATCTTCCAGATGATCCTTGATGATCTGTCTTTGCGACTCCATCTCCCGTCCATATGCCCGCCTGCTGAAGCCGTCCATCGTCTTGAGATCGGCCTCGATCTTCGGCGTCAGACGAACTGAGGGTCGGAGCAGCTGTGGGAGATTCGAAGCACGGTCTTTCTCTGCCTGCTCTTGGATGAATGTGCGTAAGCGATCTGAGAGACGTTCGCAGTCGTTGTAGACGAGCATGTTGCCTGCAATGTCGGCGGAGTAATGAACAGAAGCAGTAGCCCGGTACATTGCAAGTAGCAAGCTGGGTATAGCAAACAGGCCTCCACTAGCAGGTGAGATCGCGGATCTGACGAGGTCGCGCGAGTTGAGAGTTTCTAAGTCTGCAACGACTTGCAGTATGATCTCGATGATCGAGTCAGGAATGGCCGTTACGGTGTACGTCTCTCTCAGTGTGACATGCTGCTCTGCCGGTGCCTGTTGCGCTGACTGCCCATTTGTCTTACGCTGAGGCGGTTTCATGTGGGCTTGCGGTGAGGGTGCTGATTTGGTGTCTTCGTCATCGCCCCACTCATTCCCCCAATCTTCTGCATTCTCGTCATCTGCGGGCTTTTTCTCTTCTGTCTTGCTCTCCGGTTTTGATGCTTCCCCGGGCTCGTCTTCGTCCATACCCCATGCGCTCATGTCCTCTTCTTCCACATCCTGCGCCGCGATGCTCGTATCCTCCTTGGTAGGTTCATCTTCGTCTCCCCATTCGGCACCCCAGTCGTTGTCCTGCTCCTCTTGTACGGGGTGCAATGCATCACCCTTCGAAATGACTTGTGTTTCCACCTTTTCCACAGTCTTCTTGATCTTCACTTGCTTTGGGAACAGCTTTTGCACTCTGGCAATGGCATTCTCTTTCTGTTTCGCTAGCCAGATCTCCGCCGACTCATCGACCCACTCTGTTAAACGGTTCTGGCCAGTCCAACCAAGTTCGTCGAGGTATTCAACAAGACCCAGAACGTATGACAGGGTCTCCTGGAACTCTTGGACACCATCTGTAGATGTTGGTACCGCAGGTACAAGGTAGTGGGTGATCAGGCGCGACGTGATGATGGGTACCAATTTCGACGAGAGCGGTAAGGCAATAGAAGGTGGCAAGCGTGTACTTAGGTACTCGGCGATCTTGTGGATATCCTCCAGCGTGATCTTGACACTTCCATCGTTGACAGGGCCCATAAGCTGTATGTCATCACCGTGGATATCGAAGGAGGTGACAACCTGATCCCGGCCGATGACTAGGCGGTGCGACAGAATGGTCTTATCGAAGTCGCGACTGAAACGCGTGACAAACTCATCCAGAAGACCCAACTTCGTAAGCTGCTCGACGACCGCGTTGACGTCTATTGTGGTTCCCCGCTCGATCGATTCCCTCAAAGATACCTTGTTGTTCGCAACGTCGACATCCAGTAGTCCGTTCCAGGAGTCTGTGACGGTCTCAACAATGGCTTTTCGCATCTGCGATTCCTTGCTCTTCAGTACTCCCACCACTCTTGTAGATCCAAATGGCCCTAAGCTCTTGAGTGCGCCGTCCACATCTTCGAGTCGTTCGATAGCATACATGACATGTCCTCGCACAGCAGCGTCCTGCGCCGAGTCCAGCAGTGTGGAGATGTCCCTTAGCTGTTCAACAACCCGCGCCAAACTCTCATTGTATGCAATCTCGGTGTGCAGCAAGCTGACCTTGCTGGCCGCATCTTGGACGTGTAATGTGTTTGCCTTTCCTCCCTCTGCATGTTGTACGATCTCTTTGGCGGTATCCTGGGAGCGTTTGATGTCGTCCTGTAGCTTTCGTGCTTGGGATATCCATCCGTCGACGTCAGAGGCAGCTTCGCGGGAAACTTTGCGCACTTCGTTCTGGGCATGCAATCAGTCTTTGTTATCGAGTTCTGTGGTTTGCGCGTACTTTGGCGTCTTCTCTTGCCGTCCCAACTTTTTCTAGCAGCTTGGGTAGCGCGCTCGAAGGTACAGTGGCAGATGCCACATCTCCATCTTGGGGAAACGACCCATGTTCGGCAGATTGGAGGATTGCGTCGCCAAGCTGCTCATCCGATATTGTCGCAAGCATCTCGTTGGCTCAGATGATTGTCATGTCGAGGTAGGAGGAATGCGATGTGCGCTGTACTTTCCCTTGTGCAACACGGTTAAGCATCCGATGTTGGCAACGATGACGTCCGTGCGTGGAGCTTCAATTCACAGGAGAGGGGCAAACCATTATGGGAACACACTACCCCGCCAAGTTACGAAATCTTGCATACAGCCCTTCTTCTTCTACAGGATAGAGGTGTGTGGCTAGGCGCGTACGCTTTGTTATTGGAAACTGGCAGGCACTATCTGGTACTTGGATCACGGCTTCCTCATCCAACACAAGCAAGCTAACAAACCGGACAGTCGCGCTCTTCGACGACCGAACAACAACCTGTGTTGCAACTACCAAAAGTTGTTCCTTTCCTTTGCTCTTTTCGCCTCAATGTAAGTTCAGTTGCACACTCTGCAGTCCACTCGACTGGTTCTGCTCAACACTGCTACGGTACTATGGTACCCAGATGTGAGCAGCGTACTATTGCCACCAAAGTAGTATCTAAGCCGACACAAGTCTTTTCTTGACATTTCACATGAATACCCTTACACAAGAGATTCGTTCGTCAGAACTGTGTGCTCGTCACAGAGATTGGCTGACACAACAATGATAGCACCAATTCGGCACTGCACAAAGGGGCGCCTACCCAACCGCAATCGTGCATCACGAATAATTTCGTGAACAGTACCTCTTCATTCGAACTTTTGGACGCTTTTGAGGTTTTCAAAAGCACAAGTTACGGGAAAATGGGGTCAATCTCACCGGAGTCTCACTTTCAGAAGATCCAGAACTTTGAGGCCGATTACGCGGATGCTAAATTCACACAATACGAATCGCAGCGTACAGGCCTACGAGTAACAGTAGTTGACCGAAAAGGTCCCAAAGTCTATGGGTACTTCGCAGTCGCCACAGAAATCCACGATGATTCTGGCTCTCGTAAGTGTATCAGTACAATGGCCGTACGATGCTGACGATATGTAGCGCATACGCTTGAGCATCTGATCTTCATGGGAGGGCGGAAATACCCATACAAGGGCTTACTCGATAAGCTCTCAACCCGCTCGTACTCGGACACCAATGCCTGGACAGACATCTCCGAGACGGTTTACACTCTCTCCTCGGCCGGCTGGGAAAGTTTCGCACAAATTCTGCCTGTCTATCTAGATCACTTGATCCTGCCTACTAACACGGATTCTGCGTGCTACACTGAAGTGCACCACGTCGATGGCAAGGGTGAAGATGCAGGGTATGTCTATTGGCTATGAATGCAGTACATGTATTGACCAGAACAGTGTCGTCTATGCTGAGATGCAAGCACGGCAAAACCTGCAAGGAGACATGATGGATCTCCGTATGCGCCGCCTATTGTACCCAGAAGACGATGGTTTCCGCTCAGAAACGGGCGGTTTAATGGAAAACCTACGTGTACTGACTGCTGAGCGCATCCGCGAGTTTCACCGAGAGATGTACCAGCCAAAGAACATGCGTCTAATCCTTATTGGTGAAGTGGATCACGCAAACCTGCTTGATGTGCTGGATAAGTTCGAGGACGACATCGTTGATTCTGTGCCCTCGTACGATGCACCCTTCAAGCGTCCCTGGATTGCGTCCAAGCGCACGCCACCGCTCAGCAAGACTATCGTGGATACCCTCGAGTTCCCTGAAGAGGACGAATCCACCGGTGAGGTCCAGATTGCTTTCCTCGGCCCTCCTTCAACGGACGACCTAGCCGAGACAGCCGTCAACACATTGCTCACATATCTTGCCGGATCGTCTGTTTCTGTTCTAGTCAACACCCTGGTGGAAAAGGAGCACCTTGCCAGTGAAGTGTACTACTTCATGAAGGACCATTATGACTCGATCATCTGGTTCACTCTGAGCGCGGTAGATACAGAGAAGCTCGAAGCTGCTGAGAAGCGTTTCTTCGAGGTTCTCAAGGAACATGTGAATGGTCCTCTCGACATGAGCTACCTACGCGACTGCCTCCACCGCTTTAAGCGACAGGCTAAGTTCACATCTGAGGTCAGCAACGAGGACTGGAACACGCCTATTATCAAGGACCACGTCTTTGGAAAGCGCGACGGCTCCGATTTGAAGATCACTATGGGCGATCTCAAAGTATTCGACGACCTCGACGGATGGAGCGAAGACCAATGGCGCTCTTTCATTAAGAAGTGGATATCAGATGCCCATCATGTCACGTTGTTCGGAAAACCTTCAGCCGCTTTGAACGAGAAGATGAAGGCGGACGAAGTTGCGCGAGTCAAAGCACAGCAAGAGAAGCTTGGTGAAGAAGGTCTCAAGAAGCTGGCAGGAAAACTCAAAGAGGCTCAAGACCAGAACAACAGGCCCATTCCGGAGGAGTTGATTACGAGCTTCAAGATCCCCAGCACAGATTCAATACATTTCTTCGAAACGGTGCCGGCACGATCAGGGCTTGCTAAGAAGCTTGGTACCAACGATACCAAGATCCAGCAGATCATCGACAAGGACGATAATGGACTGCCACTTTTCGTTCACTTTGAGCATATTCCGACTTCTTTCGTGCATTTCGGCCTGGTTCTCGGAACGTCCGGTCTGCCCACAGAGTTGAAGCCCCTGCTCAGTATCTACCTTACCAATTTCTTCGCTACACCTGTTGTCCGGAATGGCAAGCGCATCGAGTTCGAGGAAGTCATCACCAAACTTGAGCAAGACACCATCGAGTACACTCTAGGCAGGGCTACCGATATTGGTAACTCTGAGATGCTTCATATCCACTTTGTTGCAGAGGCAGAGAAGTTTGAGACCGTCGTTCAGTGGCTGAAAACTCTGCTAGTGGACTCGGTGTTTGACGTTGAGAGAATCAAGGCCACTGTCATCAGACTGCTGGCGAACGTACCAGACGAGAAGCGTGATGGCAATGGCATGGCACTCGCCATTGACAAGATGATTCACTACGACACTACCTCCTCCGTCCGCGCTACAACGACTCTGGTCAAGGCTCTTTACCTCAAGCGGACTCTGAAGCTACTCGAGACCGACCCACAACAGGTTATCGACAAACTTGAGGCCCTGCGAAAGCATCTTCTGACTTTCTCAAACATGCGTCTACTTGTTACTGCAAACCTTGAGACTCTACGCAACCCAGTATCGACCTTCAAGCATCTCACCGATGCCATCAAGCCAGGCTCGAACCCTACCGTCAACCCTATTGATGACCGCAACGAGCTCCTCTCTAATATTGGCCGTAACCCAGGTGGTGCGCACTACATCGTCACGATGCCTATCGATACGTCTTACGGTATCTTCACTTCGAAGGGTCCCAAGGGATATACTGCGCCACAACTGCCACCACTGCTGGTCACTCTGGCGATCCTCGAAGCTGTTGAGGGGCCGATGTGGGTCGCCATTCGCGGCACAGGTCTTGCTTATGGCTCATCATTCTACCGTGATGTAGAGACTGGAAAGCTGAAATTCGTGGTATACAACAGCCCAAATGTGTACAAGGCATTCGACGCAGCGAAAACTCTGATTCAGGAGCTCGCGGACGGCACTAGGTCGTTCGACAAGATGGCCCTTGAGGGCGCCATCTCGACGATCGTCAGGGGCTTCGTAGATGAGCGGGATACAATGGTGGAGGCGGCAAAGAGCTCGTTCATTGATCTCGTTGTACGCAGCGTTGACAAGGACTGGCAGGAGTGGGTTCTTCACGAAGTGCGCAAGATTACCGAGGAGGATGTCAAGCGCACTCTGAAGGAGGTCATCTCCGCTATCTTCGAGCCCAGAAAGGTCGATGTCGTCGTCACTTGTGGTGGCATCCTGACAGAGGTGGGTGGATTATTTATAGTATGCTCTATTGATTTGCAGTTGCTAACAGAATGCAGAGCTTGCAGAAGGACTTCGAGAAGGCCGGCTTCAAGCCCCAGACCAAGGTTCTCGCCGACTTCTACGAGTCGTACGGTCTCGAAGGTGACGACGAGGAAGATGACGACGACGATGACGAGGAGGATAGCGATGAAGACGGCGAGGACGACGAGAGTGGGGACGAGATGGAGGAGTAATCTCCCGTCTTCCCAAGCAAGGATAAGAATAAGTAAAAAAAAAGAAAAACCTAGAAGCCGCTGATAGCTCATCGATGCAACCCAGCGCAGTCCTTGTTGGAGTGTAATCAGCACATCTTCTGACGTTGGTATCGAGGGAAGCGTAGTCGCCGGTGTTGGTTGCGCCTGTAAAAGTTGTGACACCTCAACCAAACCCAAAGTAGTGAACCCAACCCTATGCGGGAGAGAAAAAAGCACTCGTGACTGAAACCGGAAGTGAAGCGTCACATACCTATATTCACGAAGATATCACCGCGAAGTGCATGATCAAGCAAAAGTAGGGTTGAATTGGGTTCCATTTACTCGACCATTACCAGGTCTTGAATCGAAATTACATCTCCATCTCTCTCGCATGTCTACGTCTAATGTCTGTCTTTTCTTCTTGATGATGATGCGCCATGCCATGCCCTTACAAAAGGAAATCCCAGACTCTATTCCCAAAAGACTCTCAAACTTCACGCCTGAGGTCCAGTCCATCGTGATCGATGGTTCAATAGTGTGGTGTCGAAAGGTGCCAAGTGGCCAAATCCATCCCCAACCCTAGTCATGCTCTCATGCTCGAGTGCACGCTCAGGTTGAAGAGTAGGGGGTGATGCTACGTGCGAGACGCTTATAGCATCAGCGCAATACCACCCGCAACAATCAACCCCATAGCCGAGCCGGTAAGCTGGCTCGCAGCACCCTCGAAGGGAGCGGTGCTGCTGGTGGGCTTGACGGAGCCGGTACCGCTGGGCTTGACTGAGACGGTGCCGGATGCGGAGGGGTAGGGCGCAACGGCGGAGGTTGATGTACCGTTTGTGATGGTGTACTGGGCCGAGGCGACGGCGGCGAGGGCGGCGGTGATGGTGATGAGGGAGAACTGCATTTTGGGTTTGTTGGTTTGGAGGAGAATGTCCGAGATGGTATTAAAACGATTAGGTGGTAGTTTTTAGTGGAGTGAAGGATTTTTTTGTTTGGATGTTGGATGATGGTTTTGATTGAGGTATGGGAGGTGCGTCTTATATTCGCCTTCTCGGTCTCCTGTTGAGCAGCAACAGGCAGCTGTTCAGCAGTCAATCTTGCTAGAATGTCCCACCGCATACGTACGCCGCCGGGGCTGCCAGCTTGCTCCCAGCCATGACCAACCTCCGCCCCCCCGCCAGGGCCCCGTTGCGATGCCATCGCATCCACTCTCGAAATCCAGGCTCAGCTGCAAGGAACCCGCACCACCTCTCGCGACCCACCGAGTCCAACCGTCTCGCAAGGGTCGGCCAACCACGCGAGCTGTCATCCCACCAAGTTCACGACATGATTGGTGCACAGCCGGCAGATTGCCAACCTCCGAGTTATTTTCAGCCCACACAGTCCAGCCACAACCACGTACTTGCGGCTTTGCTGCGCAATTCGCCTCCCGAGATGCCACGCCAGTGGCCACGCTCGGAACTCCCGCACCGGCTATTTATCGATAACAAGATTTGTTAGCAGGTTTTCAGCTTGCTGGGCAATACGCTGGTGAAGGCGTCGTCATACGCCGTCGCGGTCTCGAGCTATTTTGTTGTGTCTGGCTCTGCTAGGTAGTGCTGAGCGGTGCCTGGTCGTGCTTGTGAGGCTCAATGGTCGCGCGGCCAGCAAACAATGCCAGGGACGAGGAACTTGGGACCCTCGTCCCTGGCATTGTTTGCTGGCCGATGGGGAACGATGGCGATCGCCAGGCACTTTGTTTCAGCTCTTTCTTATCCCTGTTGTAGATTATTGGTGGTGACGTGCCGTGGAGCTGCTTACGCAAGACGATAGCTTGGCTCGCTTTGTTCTTCGCGATTCACGATGTTTGCGGTCATGTGATTACGAGACGTGTGTTCGAGTTGTTGTTTGTTGTTGTGGTGTTGCTATTTGCGGTGTTTCTTGGAAGGGGGTTCGGTTGCGATGGGCGAGATTGCCAGTGTTTGATAGGCGTGGGCTTGTGGAGAGGGAGAGATGATGGCAATTTTGCGATATCATGCCAATCTTCTAGACTCGTAGAACACTTGGTCATTCCCGGTGTTCTGTTCGGATGGAGCTTGAATGCTTCTCTTCTTGATGACCGAACGATGTGACGCTCTCCTGAATGCGCGGCTACGGGAAGTTCCTTCCTGTGCTGCAACGTAGAAAGACAGCATGCTCGCTCCAGCTACAGCACAATTCATCAAACCTCTCATTCGACAAGTCCGTCAATAAAGATGGATATTCTATGTGCTGCTGTTCTCGCCATACGTTCTTCGTGCGTGATCCACAAAGAGGCAAGCGCAAAGCCTCACAGCAACAAGGAGCTAGAAAGAAAGCAGAATCGTGGTGCTGCGGCTGCTGTGGGTGGCCCCTCGCGTCTTCCAGCCCCGCAACCCAAACTCAACTCTCGAGGCTGCCCCATCAATCGGCCAAGTAGATTTATCACGGTCGCATAGGTCCATACAACAGTCCATCAGTGAGGGTGTTTTGGATGGCGATTGTGATGCTAGGGTTCCGCTCTGACTCTGCCGTGGCCGTAGCCGTGGCCGCGACGGTGACGTTGCAGGTACCGAATCGATGCAGAGTCACGCAACTGAGACCCGACCTCCTGCGCGTCCGAAAACAATGGCAATTCGATCTCCGTCAGAGATACTCAAATCTAAGCCGATAGGAGATGGGTTGAGTGCCTTCTGCAATTCTCACAAGACAGATTGTGAAAACTTAGTCGGCGAAGGTAGTACATCTTACCTTCGCTCAGAACTGTCTAATGCAAGCAGATCTCAACAATGTGCTACTCGATCTCATACATGCTCTGCAAAGTCTTCCCGCTGCTCGCCCTTTGCTCCAGCCGCGGTGGCAAGAACCTCGATGACTTGTCGAACCTCATGACAGCAGTCAATGCTGACAACGTTGATATTGAGCGAATATTCCCCCTTCTTCGAGCGGTTCTTTGCAAAGCGTCTGACAAGGTCATATAGGACAAGGTCTATGCAGCCATCACTGAGTCCACTCCTCTACCCCGCCTGGCGTCGTCCGTCCAACAAACGCCATGGCTGCGCAGCACGGGCAGCTTTGTGAACTTGACCAAACACCGCAAGTATGTTGACGACGTGCTGAAGGATAAGCTGGGGCAAACGCACGTCGGAGTACCCGGGTTCTTCGACGCGTTCTTTGGAGAAGTTGCAGGTCTCGGTACGGCGGCACAGGCCGTGTTCGACAAGTGCAAGGAAGGGGACAATCCACTCACCAGGAGGAGCGTGGCTGGAAGGGCTGGCCTGAAGGAGCGGGAGAGCGGGATGTCTTGAGCTGGTTTGCACTGCTCACAGAACAGCTCTTGGACTCTGCAGAAGAGCATTGGGCAGGCCCTAGGGTTCGACGGCGAACTGTGGCACGACCCATCAGCTCTTACAGGGTTCTACAGCCGACTGCAAGCTGGACATTGGGTTTGTAGACAACGAGAGCGCTGACATCAACTCCAGATATCACTGGTCACGCATCCTTGTGCCTGGAGAGCTCAAGAGCAACCCGTTGGCGGACAAAGCATCCAAGGCGTGGCTTGATCTTGGCCAATATGCGGGAGAAGTGCTTGCCGCTCAGGACAGTCGCCGCTTCATTCATGGCTTCACGCTGTGTGGATCGCTCATGCGGCTGTGGAGCTTCGACCGACTGGGGGCCATTGCATCCGAGCAATTCGATATCAACAAGGATGGGCTGCAGTTTGTGTCTGCAGTGCTAGGCTTTCTCTGGACGAACAGGGTGCAGCTGGGCCTTGATCCGACAATCACTACAGCTGGCGACAAGCGGTACATCGAGATCGAGCAAGACAACCGCAAAGAGCGCCTCGTCATTGACAAGGTGATAAAACGAGTGGCTTGCGTTGCCGGTCGGGCAACAACCTGCTGGCGGGTCCATCGGGAAGATGATCCCAACACCCCGCTCGTTGTCAAAGACTCCTGGCAGTACCCGGCATGTGAAGAGGAGGGCGAGCTGCTACACGGGGCGACCGAGAAGGGCGTGATGAACGTTGCAAGGTACTTCCACCACGAGACGGTCCGTGTCGGTGGTCGAGACGACGACATCCACACAAACGTACGGAGAGGTCTGGACATAACAAAAGCGAAAAACTACGCGGCAAGGAAGCCGATGCCGCCGCTGAGTACGACTGGATATTGGGCTTCACAAAAAGACGGAAGCAGCGTCACCGGGCGGAAGCAATCCTCGAGCTGCACGGATGCACCATTGCCGCCTAGCAAGCGCACTTGCTTGACCTCTCCGACAAAACCTGCCATTACAAACCGTGTCCACCGCCGAGTCATTGTGCATGACTACGGGAAGCCCATTTACAAAGCAAGCTCTCGGGCCAGCCTACTTGCGGGGCTGGAAGGCTGCATCGAGGGTTACGAGTCGTTACATACACGAGCAGGCATGCTGCAATGCGACATCTCCCCCAACAACCTTATGGTGAACGAAGACGAGAACAACGCGTCTTGGCCCGCGTTCCTGATCGACCTCGACCACGCGATCAAGGAGCAATGTGAGCAGGCCTCTGGAGCACGTGGGAAGACCGGTACGCGAGCTTTTATGGCCATCGGGGTGCTTCCTGACGATGGGCCACACTCGTTCATGCACGACCTCGAGTCATTCTTCTGGGTGCTGTTCTGGATATGCATTCACTATGATGGGCCGGATAAACACATTGGACCATCCGAGTTTGAATGTTGGAACTACGAGAACGATCAGAAGCTTGCAGGCTCAAAGAAGAGTGTGGTTGATGACGAGAGGGACTTTCTCAAACTTGCGCGGAAGAATTTCACACCATATGTCAATAGGCTCCGAAGGAAGGTGTTTCCCAATAGCGAGAGATGGAGGGACCTCAGCCTGCAGCTATACCTCGATATGAAGGAGATCCTCCGGATAGCTCAGAACGAGCTCAAGGAAGCGGAAGGCTGATATGCGTTAGTGTTCTGCTGAGCCCGAAAGCTGCGCGAGGATTAATATGGAACGTGTGTCGATTCGATTGTCATTTGGCTTGGCAGTCAGTGTACAATGGAGCTCGAATATCAAATCTTTGATGCATTCCATTCACCATGACGGACAGTCTTACGCTGCACAGTCGCGATCACATATCGTAGCTCTGCCAGGACAAATCCATCCAGTTGCGACAGACATGTTGTCGCACGGTTGAGTGCGGGTATTGCTGATGTGTGGCAATAAAAAGTGTGTGTATGTGTTGTATTGTTCTTGCATCCTAATACAATTCATGTCCACGACAGCGCTTGGCCTGCGACACATGTCCATCAGCTCATGGTGGAGGAATTCCAGATCTGAAAGTTGAGCATCGAGCAACTATCTCACATACACCACGCGAGCCACTATTCCGCAGCCACATCCTCTACACTCTTCCCACGCAGTATGCTCTAGTTCAGGGATTGTCCATATTCTGCGCTATTTTGCAGTGTTTTTTGCCCTAGATCGGCCAGAATGTGACCAGGGGCAGCGATGTGGTTACCGCAAAACCATGGTTACCACATACCTATGATTACCGCACAATCATGATTCCCACAAAGTCTTGGTGCACAACCAGAGAGCGTCTGCAGTACTTCGGGTCAACCGATCTCGTTAGACTGGTATTGGGTCTTGGGGAACCGCTGAGCGAAGTTGCGTGCTGGAGACAATGCAACGGTGGGACACCAACGTCCACGGATGGGCCGCACATCTATTTGAACTATCAGGGTCATTGTTCATTGCTTGACGGTGTCAAGAGGTACCGTCAAAGATGGCGAGCCACCTATAGAGCTTGCACTCATCGTACAAAAAGATGTATGTATTGACAAGTGCAGTGTCGCCCACGAGATTCTCACTAACCACGAACCTGTGCGCACGGTCTGGGGCGCGATATGGATGAGCTGGGGTTTGTGTTAGGGTGCGAGCACCTTCACCGTGACGTGCACGCTCGAGAAAGGCCTCGTTAATCAATCTCAGGCCAGCGACTGGTCTTTGCAGGACAGTGGAATACTTGTGGCGGACATTGAATGCCAGCTCTAACCTCCACTTATCAACTTAAGACTTGAAGCCGCGGTCTTCAGAAGCAGTCGAAGAAGCTGAAGGCTTCTTTCATCCGCAAGCTTATCACGTCACACCATGATATCTTGACACCGTGAGATTGTCGACGATTGAACTTGTCGTATGTCGTGTCGACTCCCAGTCATCCGGTCTGTGGCAGATTCGCGCCGTCACAGTCAGCGACGTGCCCTTGGTGAGGTCACGTTGGTATGGTTGTGGGTTGTAAATATGAGAAGTGGTTAGTGTTCTATGGTGCAAGATAGCTTTAGTCCAACCTATCGTTTCCTTTTGGATATCCAATGCTTCACAACCTGTCCTCACCGCTTCCGCACAAGACTGCGTAGTAGCATCTCCACACCCACGGCTAGCGAAAGTAGTGTTGAGCTCCACCAATACAGATGGCAGCTACATATACGGTTGGGGCATAATTTGGCCAAAGTAAAGGAGGAATTAAGTTTTTTTTTTTTTTTTTTTTTTTCTATCTACCTATGGAGATGCTAGCGTTATTTCTCATTGCTGCATACGACCCTCCGATCATGTGTTCCGGTACAACCACCCGGTTCGTGCTTTTTATTGATACCAGAGGTTCCATCAAGATTGTTACGAGCTGGTCTTGAGTTAGGCAGAAAAGTTTGGACGAGGCGCTCGAGGAAGGCTATTGTGTTTCGAACAGTATCCTCAATGGCTTTCAAGTCGTTC